TACTGTTAGTAGTACTGTTGATTTTTACCTACCTATACTAAGCGATACTCTCCGACCGGCGCGGTTTATTCCTTATACCACCCCTCCCCACCCCAACATGCAACTGAACACATTTACTTTGATTATTTAAAGGCTGCTCCAATGTAAGGAGCCAATAACAGAAGCACACGTACTCTCCATTTTTGTGTTCATACGTATTTCCAAATTAAATCAGTGAGTCATTTCATATGAGATGCTTTCCACAAACTGACTGTCGTTTATAACTTCACATGACTCGTTTGTAATACGTTACGTCATAGACCCTTTACATAATTTATATAACATTACTTTGTACATCCTTAGCCTCGTGCTGATGTTTTCAGGCAAAGAATCTTCCACATGAATGCGAGACTATGGATGTATAAGTATTGTTATTCAAATATCGGCGCCATTAATACAAAGGATCTATCTCTGAGAAAGATCTGACTTAACTCTGTCGTGCTTTTTCTCATGTGTGACATCTACAGTAAGGTATCTTCGGAATAATAACTAATCAGCTTGACAGAAAAGCCTGAAAGACACAAAGAAAAGATAAAGAACATAGCCGTCGACCTCAATGTCATGGTCCTGCTGGCCGGCTGCCAAGCTGATTTAAGGGGAGGTAGCGGATCAGTTTTGGTAATATCTTGTAACCCGAAACCCTTCTTAATTTTCCTACCCCGGTTCCAGAAGGGATATGAGTTTATTTAATTAGATGACGGCAGAATCGTCGTGCGAAAAATAACAACTGAGGAAAAGCCCAATCTTGAACTGCCAGGCCTATTCATCATACTGATAAAAGGCGCTTTTATCTCCTCGATCAAGAAAAACAAATATTATGATTATAATGTGTTGTTTCCTGACCGTAAAAAGGAGAAGGTAATTTTGCAAAACAAGTTGATGAAAAGACTGTCAAATTCGCGTTCAATGTTGAATACACTGCGAACGCACACCGCTATCAGCCAAATCATCAGGTAAACAACTGTTTAACAGATCTATTATGGAGTAAGTAGTGGTCAAATAAATACTAGTTATGCAACACTTTCGAGTCAGTATACCATGAAATATGGCACGAGTCGCTTGTGTTTTCACTGTATTCGCACGAGCGTTCTTTATACCATGCCGTAGAAAATACAGTGGCCAACACTCAAAGATCAAAATTGTTTCCTTGGTAACAACTATTTCACTTCTATTTTCAGTCAGTTCAAGATTCTGATGGGCCTATTATTCACATGTATTGGATCGACGATAGCAGACATGTTTCATTCATTGACGACTGACCAAAACCAAATGGACTGAGTGTTATGGTCTCACCTGCAATAAACTGGCTCATTTAATTTCAGTGGAGCTCGTTTGACAATGAACAGTAGTTTATCAGTAGAATGAGTAAGGCTAGAAAATGCTTCAATGAGGATTTGCAAAGATAGTTCAAAACTTGGCATTCCAAGATTTAAAGACTTTAAGAATCTTGCTGCAACGTACAGACACCCCTCCCTTGACGAAACACCTCAATTAGATGGACACCTGGAAAATCCATATTACATTACCAAGTACGTGACACCTAGTTTAAAGGCAGAAGTTTATTTGAGATTAGTGGACAAGTCATGGACATTTCCGTGACGCAAAAGGCCACCATAGCAACCCCATAACCAGTTAAAAACACTTTATCACTCAAAAACGAGTTCGGCACGTGATCCCATTTTGTGTTACCGATCTCAGTGTTGGTAGGATGTTTATCCAAGTTGGCAAGGGCTTCAGAGTCACTTTAATTTTCCGAAAATTTAAGGTGGCTCTGAATCTGCTCCCACAATTACCTATTTTAATACGTCACGCTGGAAAAGTGTGAAATAAGAGAGTCTGCTCGTAGTCTAAGAGCAATTCGAAATTACTAGGCTGTGAGCAGACGACTCTTATATTTTGCTTTCATGCAAGCGAATTAGATTTACTAGCCGACGAGTTTATGGCAACTGCCCCAGCTATAATAGAACACGTTTATTAGACTCAGTACTTAATCTTTTATGGTGTTTTTGCGGAGTGACATACTTATACATTAGCTGGTAAAGGACTCACTGCACGTGACCTATATCATGTGTCTTAAGCGTTTACAGGTCCCAAGAACACTTGAACAAGTCAAAAAAAGAAAACATGTCAACATACCCTCTAATTACCACCAAGACGGCATGAAAGAACCTGAGGTTATTAGGCCTTGTCTTAATTAATTTCAAACAATTGTAGCTAGTTGACCACTTGACTATTGTTTAAGATTCGTGAGAAAGTATATTTCACTATTTCTCGAGATTTAGTAATTTCGCTGTACAGTATGCTATAAATATCTTGTCAATCAATCAGCTGGTTGGAACAAGTTACGAAAACTGTCAACTGAAGACGATTGCGCATTTGAAAGATTATCAAAGATTGAAATCAAATTTAGTGCGGAAAAGTCAAATCTGTTTTTCTTTTTACTTAAAATAAAGCCGGCAAGATACGGCAGTTTCGTTAACCGAGTGAGCGTCTTTACTTTAAGTTCTTTGTCAAAGACACTTGAACGGAAAATGAAATGCTATGATATAATGTCAGCATGTGTTTTCTACAATGCTTTTAGATACGTCATAAATAACTATGGATACGTGATGCAAAACACTTAAAAATTGTGAAAATTGACGGTGATGTATACGAGTTGGAATACTTTTTTCCTTTTCGAGTTTCTTTCTTTCATTGCCCCACTCTTAGTTGCAGGCTGTGTTTGAGGAAACAAGACATCCCTCCCCCAAACAAAGATGTAAAATTCACCGCGGTCATAGACGTAACGGTATACCAAAATACATTCATTAGATCTAATCTCAGTGATTCCGTGCCTGAAGAAAATTTGCTCCTTACGTCGGTCTTAATGCGTGAAGTTATCGCCATGGAATGTTTAAACAAACAAGTATCAATATTGAAATAGTGAAACTTTCGTTCTCTTGCGAAATCACCTTGACGATACGTGACGCTGTTACGTTTTATACTGGCAAGCAGAGTATGACTAACACAAACAGTTATTTCAAGAATTGAAGATTAAAAAACTGCTGTCAATCAAGAAGAGTACACAAATAAAGTCGCTTGACATTTTTCGCAGCAAAATTTTAATATTCTGGACACTGAATCTACATAATAATTTGTTGAGCACATACTCAATCGGGCGGCGTCAGAATTCTCGAGGAATCAGTCCAAAAAACGTCCTTCAATGGTCAGTTCTCGACCCTCAAGCAAAGAAAACTCACAGTTCTGCGGCAAAATGGGGACAGAAGGGATAAATACAAATTACGCTTCCTCTGTGAAAGCTATCTGGATTATCCTTGCATTTCTTGGAGGTGAGTTGAGATACGATTATTCTACGTGGAAAGTGGACGGTAATTTAGACGCCACTGATTTAACACTGAAATCGCATTTTGCCATGTTTATAACATCGGCCTGGAAATGCATGTTACAAACATTTGTATCTTACAATACCCTATGTTGTAAAAGAGCTATCATAATCAGCTAAAAGCACATGCAGGACATAGTACTGAAAATCGCATGCTTCAGTAAGCTGTTAGTTATACAAAAAAGAGAGTAATCATTGGATGGATATCAGATTAGACTGTAAGAAGTTTCAGAACGTTTTTTCTCTTTCAGCTAGACTTGCTTGCTTGAATGATTTTATTTTTCCCTCCCGTCCAGCAGTTCACAGCTTTGTAGTGAAGTGGCATGCAAATTGCGCCTTTTTTAAGTCAATATTTGTCCGGAAACTTCCCATTCCTGTGTTTTGATTAGACTTAGCAGTAGGCGTTTCAAAACATAAAGGCCATTCTCGATTGTACCTCGGTGAAATTCTTTAGCCTCTCACTTTGATCAAAGGTGGAAAACCTTCGCCTTACCAACGCGTCTTCTATCATTTCCGGCTATCATCTTTTAACCTTTAATTTTGAAAAAAAAATGGAAAGTTGATAAGCTAAGGCGTCTGTGTTTATTAGTTACGACACAACTGTCTCGCTGCAACATTGACAATCCTATTGAATGTCTCTCCGCGAAGTCTTTTAGCGATATCTAACTTTAATGTAGCATTGTTTATAAAATCTTAAGTCCCGCCTGCTTTTGCTGTCTGTATAAACAGCAAGTTTCCTCATCGAGAGATACCCGTATGGGTCCGCAAATGATCCCAGGACCGCAAATGATCCCGGACCGGAAATGATCCCCATATTGGACCGCAAATGATCCCGATCAAAAAATAAGGAATGGCATGGATTTATATCAGAGGAAGGTGACAACATGTACAAAAATTATGAACTAAAAAACATGTTTTATCATTTTACAAAAAAAATATTCCACAGCTGCTGTGTTGTTCTTCGAAGGGTACAGATCGTTTTCACTGTCACGCAATAAAAGAAAATAATAATTCGAAAACCAAACAATGGAAAAAGCTAACAAATTGTGATGTGCGCCATAGAAGATAACTAAATAAGACAATTCTCCAAGTTTTAGGCCTGTGCGTTTCCCCAAACTTCAGATATTCGTCGTAAATGTTTCCCAGAAATTTNCTCGGTGAAAAAAAAAATTCAATCATTGGGTCAAAGAATGTATACAGAATCCGATTTAAATTTAAATAACAGTGTCACTGCGATACCCTGCCGAAATACTATATATGTGCTGATTTAAAAGTTAAAAGTAAACTCAGCCTGTGAAGTTCATAATCTGAATGGAGATAGCCGCGGTTTTCATTTGAGTGTCGCGAAACCAATCGCAGAAAATACAACGGCCAGTCACAATTAACAAATTTAAACAGTACTATAAACTAAAGACAACCCCAGTTATCTACGCGTAACCAACCACAAACGTGGGAAACCGCCCGTGACCAAGTGGCGATTGCTTTTTGCTTTCGCATCTGTCTGTCGCACAACATTTACTCAAACAAATAATCAAGCTAATTAAAACTTAAGCAATTCTTAAAGTACTCTCCTTATATCTTACCTTATAGGGTCAGTAACATCAAATTCAACCAGTGTATCGCCTTCTGTTTCATTAACAACCAAGACATCAGTAACACCGTCAACATTCAAACAATCAGGCAGTGGAGCAGCAACAAGCTCTTTGTCGCCCACACTACTCCCACCTACGGCCGTTGCAACAATATTTACAACCTCAAAATTTGATTCAAACACTAGTGTGTCTTCGGTTCCATCATCATTATCAGAGGAACCAGCGAACTTTTCATCGACGATATCGAAAAAATCACGAACAAGTTGTGTGTGTACCTCACAATCGCAAACTAGAACACTAACGACTGTGCGCATTAGCGCAACACCAGATCCATCAAGTGTCCTGCCTTCTGTTTCATCATCTTCTGAGGTATCAGTAAATGTTTCATCTTCGATATTGAAACAATCCGCAACAAGTTGTGTGTGTGAGTCACAATTTCAAAGTNCATCAAGTGTCCTGCCTTCTGTTTCATCATCTTCTGAGGTATCAGTAAATGTTTCATCTTCGATATTGAAACAATCCGCAACAAGTTGTGTGTGTGAGTCACAATTTCAAAGTATGGTCATTGTCACGGCATCCGTTGTAGTAACATCAGATTCGTCGAGTGTCCCGTCTTTCGCTTCATCATCATTATCCGAGGTATCAGTGAGTGTTTCCACTTCCATACCGAAACAATCAGCAACGCTTCCTCTAGTCATCTTACCATCACAAAATACAGCCATTGCGACAGCATCTATTGTCGTAACATCAGATTCGTCAAGTGTCCTGTATTTGGCTTCATCTTCATCATCCGAGGTATCAGTGAGTGTTTCCACTTCCTTACCGAAGCAGTCAGCAACACTTTCTTTAGCCATCTTACCATCACAAAGTACAGACAGTACGACAGCATCCGTTGTAGTAACATCGGTTTCGTCAAGAGTCACGTCTTCGGCTTCGTCATCTTCATCATCATCATTATCATCATCCGAAGTATCAGTGAGTGTTTCCACTTCCATACCGAAACAATCAGCAACGCGTCCTCTAGTCATCTTACCATCACAAAGTACAGCCATTGCGACAGCATCGGTTGTCGAAACATCAGATTCGTCAAGTGTCCTGTCTTTGGCTTCATCATCATCATCATCATCATCATCATCATCCGAGGTATCAGTGAGTGTTTCCACTTCTATATCGAAACAATCAACAACACGTTCTCTAGTCATC